TGTTGCTGAGCCACAGTTCCCATCAGCTCTGCCCATGCTGAGTTGGACCACTTTTGCGGTATGTGCAAGTTTCCCACTGTGTTACAGAGTAAAGGTTCAGTTCTTACAAATGACTTAATTGGTCCCAATAAATCTAGCACAATGACGGTTATGGAAGTTTGGAGTGTTCCTTTTAACAACACAGCGGGGTGTTCAGATGTCAGCTCCCTCCTCAAGAGCTGCCTTAGACCATGGCAGGCCATTTCTCTGTCTGGCTTGGCATTGCTTCCCCTGATTGATGGAGGCTGGAAGGGCTTTGTCACCTGCCACCTTGGAAACCGTACTTGGGACCTTCTGCATGCAGAGCGGGAGCTCCGCCCATTTGAAAAGAAGCAGGGAATGGAGAGGCATTCAGAAATGTCTCGGGGGGTAAAGGAGCTGTCCTCTCCGTGTGCTGCTTCCCTGTGGGTTGAAATACCTTTTCACATTTGGAGGTGAAAGCATTGCTTAGGATTGCCACACGTGCTTTGGTTTGCATGGAGATGATTGTCCGTTCAGTGGTGGGCATCTCTAGGTGGGTTTGGGAGGAGTCCTCCTGTCTGAAACACTATACAGCTGCTGGTGGTCGGTGCAGACAGATGTAGGAGAAATCTGTTTCAGTTTCTTTTGCTTGGGATTTAACCCAGTTCACACCTCCCAGATAAAGAAGACTTGGATGCAATCTGAAGGCAAGGTCCATGCATTTCTGAGTTGGCAACATCATTCACAGAACACCACAAGAAGAAAGAAAGAAAGAAAGAGAGAGAGAGAGAGAGAGAGAGAGAGAGAGAGAGAGAGAGAGAGAGAAATGACATTGCTAGACAATCAGCTTGTATGCTCTCGTCTTCTTTGTAATGGAATGATCCCTTGGTAAGGGAATGATCCAAGTACTTTGCAAAGACATTCACAGTACTTTTGAAAAATGCACATAAAAATGCGTATTGTTAAAAAAATGTGCACCAATACACTGGGAAAGGAATGTACACTTTTCAAAGATGTTTGCATTTGGCATGCACATTTGGAAAAAAACAAAAGTATGTGTCGATTTTCATATGAAAGGAAAAAGAATCTTATATGAACTTGAGCTGGAACAAACTTCAAGATAGAATTCAGAGAACTTTGGGAAGATCACGTTTTGCTGCTCTGTACTGAGCTCGAGGGACCAGTGACCTGACAGCTTCCTCTGTTTCCTGATGTGCTTAATAAATGCATGAAACTGGGTGTGGGAATGTGCTTGCCAGGCAAATTCCATTTTGCCCATGAGTCGTCCATTCAGCAGAACTCCAAACAGGCTGTATACCCATACAGACACGCTTGTGCAAGCACACTTGTGAAGCCAGTCCTGGTTTCTGTTTGCATGGAGGGAAACTGCAAGAAGTGTCGCTGGCCGATGGACGTGGCTTGCCCCTCCCAGGGGTAAAAAGGTAAAAACGAGAACATTAAGAACATTAGAAGCCTTGCTCGGCTAAAGGATCTACTCTGAGAGAAAGATCGGCTTCAGTTCTGGAAACTGCAAAGACTACTTTTGTGAAGGAGAGGAAGGCTCAAAGGAAGAGGAAGGTTGGAAGGAAAGAATTTTTTAAGGATGGATTGGAGAGCTGCTTGAGAGCTATATGATGAGCAGAAAGGAATGCTTGAGAGAGCATGAAAACAGCACATGAGGAAAAGCTATGCTTTGTGGTTGGCCTGTGAATGGTGGCTTGTTTGTGATTAGCAAATCATGGTTTGTTGGTGCAGCTGAGTTCATATGACACAACAAGCCATGGTTCAGTGACAACCTACTTGCAACCCATATTCTGGCTTGTATGAACCAAGTCAATGACTGCATAGCAGAGTGGCTGTCTGAATCTGGAAAGGACCAGGACTGTGTTGCCTCCAGAAATTCCCATCATCCGGAAGCTGTTACTTCCCCAAACTTTAATCAGTGTTAAAGTGCTAACTGGAATCTGCAGGCCCTACGTAGGCTGGTTGGGGAAACCTTGAAGACTCCTTTAAACTTGGTCCTTCTGGTCCAGAATGTGAAGCAGCCATGTCTTCTTGGGTGTGTTGCTCCGCTCTGGCTCTGCCCACACATGCTCCTTTCATGCACTTCTCTTCTCCTGCGATGCAACACACTTGCCGTGCTACATCAGGTGTGTGGAAAGGAAGAAGTGCCAGGGTGTAATGGGAGGAGACCTGCCTTCTCCCCCTTTAGAAGGGGCCGCAGTTCAGTGGGAAAGCCCCTGCTTTGCATGTAGAAGGTTCCAGGGTCAATTCCTGGCTTGTCTGAAACCCTCGAAACATGCTGCCCGTCCGTGTCAACACCACCAGGTGGATGGATCAAAGGCTGGCTGGTCTAAGGCAGCTTCCCGTTTCCATAAGCCATGCTGCAATGAGCAACTTTAACGGGAGACTTTCTCTGTGCCAGCTGGTGGCCCAATGTGAGGAGGGTGCAACTTTGACAATCCAGAGGGTATGCTGGTAGTAGGTTGGGGGCACATATAGATAGGGTCATGTATGCACTTATGTACATGAGCATGTGAGGCTGCACATCCAGGTGAATCCCAGCCGACAGGATAGGGAGGGTCAAACTTCCCCTCCTTACCTGCTAAGGTGGGATGAGGGCTGGGGAAGGTGATGGGGGTCTTCACTGGAAAGTGGGTGGGGCTCCTCAGGCCACCTGGGTCAGAGGAGGGTTACGTGTGTCCTGTGGGGTGTAGGCACCCATCCCCGTTCAACACAAAATGTGGGAGACTGCCTTACACCAGACCAGAGTATTCATACATTTAGCCCACATTTGCTACTCAGACCGACAGTGACTCTGCCATTTCTCAGGCTCAGACCTTCCCCTCTCCATCCCCTGCTTGCTTTCTGCTTCTTGTAACTGGTGGTGGCAGGGATTGAACCCAGTACGTTTGATGTGCCACGCACGTGCCCTCTGCACCCGAGTTGCCCACCCTTGAGGGACCAGTTCCCCCTTTTTACTGCTTCCCTCCCATTGCTGTTAGTCCGGATGCCGTTCACGGAGACTAGCAGCTCTACCCTTTTTCCCCTCACTGAATTTGTCCTCTTTTATTTGCTGAAATCTTTGCAGTACAAAACCTCTCCCCCTGCTTAGACATGTGCTCAAATGTGCAGTCGCGAACCAGCTGCCCTCAAACCTCTGCAGACAAAATTGTTTGCTTACATAGAAAGCAAGACTGTAATTACTCTCTGCTCAGATTATACATCAAGGTCAAAACTGTGTGATTCAGGCTATTGTTTAGGGATAAAAGGGACTCTGTTTTTTTGGTGGAGCAGCAGACAACTACTGTCACAACAGTGTTGACATGGGCCTAGTACCACATTTTTTTCCTTTTTTTAATCTAACTTCATTTTAGCCATGCTAGGAGAGCTGGCTGCTCTGTATTAAACATAACAGATGACAAGGTTGTTTCCAGTGTTCAGAGGGGAGTGTTCCAGAGCAGAGACTCAGCAGGGCTTGCAAAAGTACAGGCATCTTGAGGGTTGGGACCTCTGTAAGCAGGGACAGGCATGCCTGCCCTAGCCCAGTGAGGACTCAGCATGGCATACTGACGGACTGTTGGGGGCGGGATGGAAAAGCGGATGGGATGGGTTTGGAATGAAATGTCTTGGAGAAGCCATGAACGGGAGGAGAGGATGAGTCACAGAAAACCATAGTTTGGCATTACATGATCAAGACTTGAGTTGGACACTCCCTCCTTCTGTCTTTCTCCCATCTCTTCCACTTAGGGCATCGTCTTAAAATACGGTGGTTGATTTAGAAGGCTGTCTGAGGGGCGGCTGCTGCTCTCTTTGCTGCTCACTTGTAGAGGGGCTGCAAAGGGTTAGGGTTATGGGCCTTGCGGTTGTTTCATGCTCTTCTTGCTTTTAGAGGCTGCATCTTAGGGAGTAAGCCCTATGGAACACAATAGGATCTACTCCTGAGTAAACATGCATTGGTTTGTTGTGCTGTTCAACTTTTAAAGTTTGTTGTTGTTCGTTTTTTGGTTTCTTATTATTTTTTTGGCATTGCTTTATTTTCAATTGTAGGCTGCTTCGACTATTTTAAATCAGGGCTACCAAACAGCAGGCTTACAGGCACTTTTGGACTCACCAGGTGGCTGCTTTCCTTCCCTGTCCCCCTGGCACCAGGGTCTTTCTGCCAGCTATGGATGGTTTGGTGTTTTACCAGCTTTGGCACATGTTTCCCATTCTAAAACACTGAAATACTAAATTTCAGACCCAGTATCCAGTTAAGGATGCAATTAAACCAGCTTGCACAGCATGTATGGCACATATAAAATACACTAAAAAATGAAATCCCAGCAGTTTATGCCTCCAGAATTGTTATTGTCGGCAAGCAAAGACTGCTTTCAGGATAGGGCAGCATGGCTGTTAATGTGGACTGGTCCACAAGGCATCACGCTGGTCCTCTTTCAGCTGCATTTGCTGCCCGTTGAAATCCTGGCCCGATTCAAAGTGCTGCTTTTAACATTCAGAGCCCTAAATCAGAAGGAACACCTGATCCCATATGTTCCTACCTGGGCTTTACTTTGAGAATCTCATTACCTGTTTGTATGCATCCATGGGGTTGGGCATTGATGATCCAGGTAGGGTCTCCAAGGTGACTTGCAGATAAAAACCTAGAGATGATGTAGAAGCTTAAAGCAAACCTAGGAAGTGACGTGTTGTTTTCCTCCTGCAGCGGTGCTTTCAGGAACAATCTCCATACTTTTGCATGAAGCGGTCATAATTTAAACACTTGCTGCCATGTTGAGATGAAAATTGCTGTGTGAGCTACAATAGGGCTTGTCTAATTCTTTACTTCAGAGTAACTTTTACGTCAAATTGCTTGGCAATGCTTCCTCTCAGAGTGGCAGTCGTGTAGCTTTAGACATTGTTCGTGCTTGTTCATTTGTAAAACAGGCAATCACACAAGGTTGTTTGCACTCTGCTTTGTTTGATTTTAATTACTTAGTTGCTTCTCCTCTGTTGTGCAGGTAACTTTCTTGTGGTGATCGATGAGACATGAGATCTTCAACCTCCAGGCTCTCCAGCTTTTCCTCAAGGGATTCATTATGGAATCGGTAAGAAACAGGGAGTCAACCTATATCAACGACTGGGTTCAGACGACATGTTAACCCACACTCAGGGGACTGAATATGGGTTGTTGTTGAACTGCGGGTTCTAGTCAGAATGTGGATTGTCATATTCCTGATCCCAGCCGTGCTAACAGCATGTTAACCATGAACAACCCCTGAAGAGAGCCCGTGGTTTTCTTGTTGGATGGAAACAATGGGCTATTCACCATGGCTTGTCATCTTGGCTGGGTTCAGGTAACATGATAACCACTGTTTCAACAACCCATGGTTTAATGACAACCTACACTCAACCCATACTCAACCTGTATGTATGTACGTATCGTTGTGCTGTCTGAACCCAGGCAGCGTCTTTCCTAGGTTTGCTGGAGTTGCAAAAGTGCTCTGTTTGGAGTTCCAGCTCTCCAACCCACCATTAAAAACTAACCGCTTGGCAGCCCCCAAGAATGGGTGTTTTTCAGTGGTGTCCACACATCCTGGAGGCATGGCTTTAAAGTAGAGTTTTAGAACCTTTTGTGATTGTTGTGCTCAGCATTTGAGTTTCTAAAACCCATTTCTGATGTCGTGTTTGTGAAATGTATAGGCTGTGATAAATGTTGATGTACGTGCCTTGCTGATGTTAATTGCTGTGTGTTCCTTGCCAGAGGAAGGAAAGGCAGGCGGGGGGGGGGGGGAGATAAACAAGATGCCACTGCCATCATCATGGTCCCTCAGATCTCAAGGGGCAGGGGGGCACATAGGGAAGAAGGCGCTCCCATAGCCGCACTGTGGAGGAGAGCCCTAACATGCTGGCCTCTAGACTGGAGGCAGGCCTTGGTTGTGCTTTTGGAGCACCACAGAAGTCTTTGCATTACAGCTGGGAACTCTCTATCCCCTCCACTGTCCCCGACAGCTACTGTGAGGGCCCAAACCATGAACCAACCCAGGAAGGGCATCCCTCCTGATGAAGAGGTGGCAGGGCCACCTCTCTGGCTCCATGATAGCGCCGTAACCCAAAAGATAGGATCTTTTGTAGACTCTTATGGAGGTCAACCTGATGAGCAGAAGTCCCTTTATCTCTAGCCATTCACCATGCTGTTTGGGGATGATGGGAATTGTAATCTGAAACAACTGGATTATATCAGTTTGGAGAAAGCTACTTTGATGGGAAGAAGCTGAACACCAGTATCACCAGACAGATAAGCTGCCTGCCAACAATAACTGCCTTATTAATCAATTATTATTAATACAAATTATTAATTAATATTAATAACTGCCTTATTAACTACCTGCCAACAATAACTGTCTATATGGAGCATCAGGTTGATAGGAGACATCACCCCAAAGTATAGTTTGCTTTGCTTTGGTGCAATGTCTGAACTAAGACACTATCTGGTCTCCCAGGTCGGATGCTTCCTCTTGGGTTCCTGAAAGTGCTGACATTTATATCAGCACCAAAAAAATAAGACCATTAATTGGTACTCCATTTCTTAGTATAAGTATACTTTGGAGAGATTTTCCTGGTTGCAGATGGGAAGTAAATGAGACTGAAAATATTGAAATATTTGCAATATGGCTTGATGAGCTGTTCCAATATTTCCTGCTCCCTAGCCGCAGGATCCTTATGCACCAGCCTGCCAATTATTATCAGGTCTTCTACAGTTTCTCATGTTGAACACTCAGAGAAAAAACAATACCATATCTTTCTTTTAATTAAAAAGAGTGAACTACCTGGACTTGGGAGAAGGCTAATTAAAATCGTCTTTAACAAGTCCCCTGTGTTAACATAGTTACTGACACAGTTGCGACAAAACCTTGGTGGTAATATATTAAATTGCATGTGTTTTTACATAAACTGCTTGGAACTCAAGGGAGGGATTCTGTAGAGTTCACCTGTCAACCCCAGAAGCTCGGACAAAACCAAGCAAACCAATTTCCATTTGGGGCCATTCACAAGTTATGCAGAGATAAATGCCGGTTCAACACTGGACACTCCACAAGGTGTTCCAGCCAAGTCTGGTTCTATGACAAGCATACATGAGAAATACATTTGTTTATTGCATGCATCCTTAATATATCTGAAGTATTTTTATGCTTTTATACTCAGGAGATCTGGGTTCTAGTCCCTGCTCAGCCACGGAGCCACCTGGGTGACTTTGGGCCAGTCACAGACTCTCAGGCCAACCTACCTTGCAGGGTTGTTGCTGTGGGGGTAAGACTGAGAGCAGGGGAAGGAAAATTATGTCAGCCGCTTTGAGGTTTTCGTAAAGAAAAAAGGCTGGATAGAAATCAAATAAGTAAATATGCTGTTCTTCAGCCAGAAAGGGTGTCAGAGAAGTTTATGTATCAACAGTTAAGCATGGCAGCCTCTTCCTGCAGGCTTAAAATCTAAAAAGACACAACACAACACAGCACGGGAGGAAGAAGGAAGGGAGTGTGGGCTGTGTGTGGGAACTGATCTTTTAGCAAGAATGATGGGACAGCCAGCTCCCTTTCTCATCTCTCGTCATACCGGCTAGTAGACTATCTGCTTGTGGTGACAATTGTGGTGACTTAGGGGCACAACCCTATGTATGTTTATACAAAATAAAGTCCTTTAACTCCCAGCATTCCCCAGTTTGCCAGCCCTCAGAGTTGTAGGATTATTTTCTGTCTAAACATGCATGTGCCCTTACTTGTTTATTTATATCACCAAAACACACCGCCCACTTCACAATGATTTCTCTGCAGTTAACAAGAAAGCTTAAGAAAGCACAGAGACAATAAAAACGCAACAAATCAAACAGAATAGAACTCAACCACAGGGCAAAACTGAATAAACAAAGGAATGAATCAATTAATGAATAAGGACAGCTGCAGCAAAAACATTAACCCAGAATTTAAAAAGCACTTAGGCTCTTACAATGATCTTAAGACATTTTTAAAATGCTTGGGATTTGTTTTAAGTCTTCACTGGCACGGAAAAGACAATAATGATGCAACAGAATAGAATAAGTGTTGGAAGGGAGCTATTAGGTCATCAAGCATAGTGATTTGCTATGGTTTCGCATGTGGTCACCCATCCAGCTGCCGACCTGCGCCTCCCCAGTTTAGCAAAGGAAAATGGCTTGCTATACTGGCTCAGTGTGCAGTTGTACAGGTGGAGAACAATGCTAGGCCCTCTTCCACTTTGCCTGAGCCTTTGTATTCGTAAACTGTGGAAGCTCCAGCCATGCCAAGCTACAGCTGTGGACTGTAGCTCATTCCCAGGAATACTGGGCTGCGTGGTGCTTGCCCCACATCTGGACTCATGATGACACAGCCGTGGCTTCTGCACTAGCAGGGTCCTGCGTGGGCAGGAGGCTGTCGGACACCAGAGTGAAGATCTCACCTCTGTCCAGACAAGGGGTTGTGGGGGAGAGGGAAGGACAGAGACAGAGCTGAGGCATGGGCCCCCTATTTTTTCTTCCTCTTTTCTTTTCCTTTTTTTGAACAAGTAAGTAAAATCAGTTTTACAATTTTAAAGGCCCACAAACCAGCTGAACCACTGCAATTTGCTACACAGCCTTCCCAGGACCGTCAGGCTGGGAAGGGGCCTGCTAAGGTGACTCACTTACCTGAGACCACAAGAACAACATGGTCCGTTTGGCCTTGCAAGCGCTCTCTCCCGGGGGAGTCCTTTCCCTCACTCCCACTGCCTTCCCCTGGATTGCCTTCCCCCACTGATGACACCCTTCCAGTGCATCTGTGAACTCCAGCGCAGGCCCCAGAAGATGCCTGAACTCTCCGTTCGCCCCTCAAGATTCGACTCCACTGAGGCATACACAGCTAATTCTTTTGCCTCCGCATTTGTGTCCACCCAGCCATCCTTTCCACTTCTCTTACCTGTGTAAGCAGAGGCAGGCGTGCAAGGATAAGCATCCTCAACGGGGACCCTTCCCTCAGGGAGTCGACCTTCTCAGGGCCACAGTCCCCAGCTGCCCTTGTTCCACCATAACCCCTTTCTCACCTGAGGTACCTCTTCCTGCCAGACAGGTAGGAAGCCAAGAGGCAGGGCCATCCGCTCCTCCTTCCCCACCATGGTCTGGTGAACAAGTGGATTGCACTAGCGAGTGGTGAGGCTCTTGTCACTGGGTCCCAGCTGTGGTGAGGGCCTTTCACAGACTTATCCCAGATGCTGGTCCTGCCATTTAGTAACCTTAATTCTCCATTTGTGGACCAGCTGAAGGCTCAGAACCTTTTGTGAAGGGAGTCCTCAATACAGCGCATGAAATGGCCCCCTGCTTTCTCAGGAACAATATTCCAAATGCTTCTGGGCCTCATAGCCTTGTTGTGATGTGCCTCCATCTCCAACTTCTGGCAACCGTACGAGTGAAAGCCCTCCAAAATGTCCTATCCGTGACAGCTCTGCTCAGCTCTTGGAAACTCAGGGAGGTGTCCTCCTTTCTGGAGACAAGCCACCTCTTGTTTGATCTTCCTTTTCTTCTTCTGCTTTTGACTTTCCCTAGCGTGATGGTCTTTTCCAGGGAGTTTTGCCTTCTCATGCTCCAAAGTAGAGTCTCAACTTTGCCGTTTTTGCTTCTAGAGAAAGCTCTGAGTTGATTTGATCCAGGATCTGCTTGTTTGTCTTTCTGTCAGTCCCGCATAGTCACAGAGCTCTCCTGCAGCACCATGTCCCAAATGCATAAATTTTCTTCCTGTCGGCTTTCTTCTCTATCCATCTTTCACACCCATACATAATGATCGGGAATATAATATTGCATGGATGAGCTTGGCCTTGGTCTCAGTGAAACCTCCGGACTTTTGACAGTCTTTTCTAGTTCCTTCGTCGCTGCCCTTCCACGTCTCAGTCTTCTTCTAATTTCTTGCCCACAATCTTCATCTAAATTAATGACTGAGCTGAGGTATGTTAAATCTTCCACAGTTTTTGATGTCCTCATGTTAACAGGCGCGTTCCCCCTTTTTGTCCTCCTCAAACACAAATATAGCAGAACTCTGACATTTGTTCAAATGGGGAATGCAGACCTGGA